CGGCCACTGGAGCCCGCGCCCTCCCCCGGGACGACCCGCACGCTCCCCGCAGCCCAGCGCGCACGCCCCGCCTCCTGCCGGCCGGCGCCTGAGGGAGGAGTGGGGCGGGGCCGGCGACCGGGGCGGGGCGTAGGCTTCCGGGGCGGGGTCTGGCTCTCGGGACGCAGGTCGAACTATCTAGGGCGGGGTCTGTTCTGCCGTGGGCGTGGCTTAGCTCCGGGGGCGTGGCTTAGCTCCGGGGGCGGGGTCTATTCCTGTCGAGCGTCCAGGTTTTGGAGGGCGGGGCCTTGCTGGGGAGAGAGGTCTGACTCCTAGGGCGGTGCCTGGGTTCCGGAGTGGGTTTCTGGGCTCCGAAGGCGGTGTCAGCTTACGATGGTGCAGCCTTCCTCCAGGGGCAGATCTGGTCCTCCAGGGGCTATTTCCAGGCTCCCAGGGGCGGCGCCTCTGTCGAGAGGGGGGACCTGGGCTTCTGGGGGCAGGACCTGGTCCCCGGGAGGACGAGTCTGGCCTTCCAGGGCGGGGCCTTGTCCCTCGGGGCGGGGCCTGCCCCAAGGCGCGGCTGTCTGTGACCCCGCGTCCCAGCTGGCCTGGGACCTTCCTTGAGGTTTGTGGCCCTTGGGTACTGCCAGGCGCTGAGGAGCAGGGCAGCCACGGAGGTGAAGCGGCGTGGGCGAGCCCTGGGGAGACAGGTCGGGAGGCGCCCTGGCCCTTCCGGGGCGTGCGCTGTCCTCGCGCTGCGAGCTCGGGCGGAGACACGCGGGACCCGAGCGCGCGTGGACGGCTGGACCTGGCGCCGCGGGCGGCGCCGTTCGCGGTTCCCAGCCTTGTCCAGGGACGCACCCGCTGCAGGGTCCCCTTTCGAGAGCCTGCACTTGCGCCGGGGTCGCGCGGGACCCGCTGTGGACGGCGGAAGGGCTGCGCAGCCCGGAGCACTGGCCGTGCTGCTGCTGCCCTGCGGGGCGGCCTCATCCGGTGGCCCGACCGGCCGCCGCCTGCCGAGGCAGGCTTCTCTTTGCCTGGGCTCGGGGAGCCCAGCCTGTCCAGAAACGTCTAAAACCATGAGTGTCTTTCGGGGTTGCGCTGTGAAGTCTGGGTCTGTCCCCAAGGAGCCACTGAGAGGAGGCCCGAGGAGAACCGGGGAGAAATTGAGGCACGCCCTGTCCCTCTGCCTCGGGTCGCGGAGGCGCTGAGGGTGCGGCTGTCCCTGGGAGGTCACTTTCTCTGATACCTTTTTGCCCTCTCGCTACCTAGCAGTCAAAGGTGACCGTGGAAGCCGAGTGTGGTGGTGAACACCTATCATTCCTGCACTCTGGAGGCTGAGGCAGGAGGATTGCAAGGTTGAGCCCAACCTGGGCAATTTAAGGAGGCCCTGTCTCAACAATATAAATAAATAAACAAACAAAATGGGCTCGGGCTGAGGCAGGAGGATTGCAAGGTTGAGCCCAACCTGGGCAATTTAAGGAGGTCCTGTCTCAACAATATAAATAAATAAACAAACAAAATGGGCTCGGGATATCAGTGCAGAAGTCCTCGGTTTGCGCCCCCCCCCCCATACTGCAGGGGGCGTGGGGGTGGCACATGCTCCAGGCTCTCATTTCCCGTTGTGCTGCAGGGCTTTCCGCATGGGCCTGGGACCCGCCAGGCTGCCAAAGCCAAGGGCTCTCCAGGACCTTGAGTAAAACATTCTTTTCTTATCTTTTCTTTAAAACAAAGCCTTGGGGGCCGGGGAGATGGTTCAGTAGAATAAGCGCTTGCCTGGCAAGCACAAGGGCCTGCCTGAGTTCAATTCCCGGTTCCGCAAAACAAAACAAAAAACAAAGCCTTGCTGTATGCTCAGGCCTGCCTCTGGGCTCCTGGGCTCAAGTGAACCTCCTGCCTCAGCTCACTGAGCAGCTGGGGCTACAGGCTTGTGCCACTGTGCCTGGCATATTCAGAGAGCTTCAAGGCGTCTTTATTCTATACTCACCGCATCCTTGAGCCAGTGCCGCCCAAGCCCTAGGAGTCCCCTACTCAGCACACCTGTGTCTTCCTGGCCCCAGGGGGACGTGAGCACTTCCTTCCGCATTTCCTCCCATCTTTTTGCACGGCTTTGCCCACTGAAATACATGTTGTTTTGTTATAAGATGCTTTCATATTTCCTGTTTATGTTACCATGACAGCACTTTTTAAAAATGGATGTCCAGGGGGCAGTGCACACCGGGGGCGACTCTCACTTCCCAAGGAAGGATGAGGAAGGGCTGAGCGCTCTCCAGAGTGGGACGTCCTGCAGCGCGCCCCCTGGCGGCCAGTATAGGGATGGCACAGTGAGTACAAGCAGGTGCACGCCCCAAGTGGGTGAGATGGGTTGGGGGTTCTGTGTGAATGAAAACACTTTCAGGTGATTCACATATTTTAAAAAGTATAACTTTGTTGGTAGCACTGGGAATTGAGCCCAAGGCCTTCACATTAAGCTACATCCCCACGCTCTATTTTATTTTAATTTTGACACAGGAATCACTAAAATTGCCCAGGCTAGGCTCCAATTTGCAACCCCTATGCCTTGGCCCCAGGGTGCTGGAAATTCAGGCACAAGTCACCGTGCCCAGCTGGCATTCTGAGCCTGATGAACGGGGAAGCTTCGCTGAGCAGGCAACTCTAGTCAAATTCTCTCCCTTTCTGAAAAGTCAAGGAAATCAGTGAGTTAATTCAGAACTTCACAGCTTTCACCGTGCAGACTCCGAGGTGTGCAGCGTGCCCTGCTGTGGCTTCTGCTGCAACTCGCCGCTACTTACTCCTCGTGCTGCAGAGTCGCTGCTTTTGCAAGCAGGACAGGAAGGGCCTGCGAGTGCTCAGTGGTAGCACTCTTGCCTAGCGTGTGAGGCCCTGGGGCAGATGGGGGACCAGACAGAAGATGCGAGCCATCCCTTCTTCCTGTTGTCTGGTGCTCACCTGTAATCCCAGCACTCAGGAGGCTGAGGCAGGGTGATCCACATGAGTTGGAGGACAGCCTGTACTACATAGTGAGACACTCTAAAAAAAAAAAAATTAAACACTGAAAACAGAGAAGCGCTGAAGTCCTCCAGCTTTGCCACCTCCCTCTGGAGGACACTGCCTGGGTCCTGTGGGTACTTCCTGCCAGCCAGAGGCACACAGCCATGCTGCATCCTGGCTCTGCAGTAACTGGGTGCTGTCTGAATCCTCAAGATTCCCTTTGCTCCCAGGGACAACATAAATGACCCCAGACCGGGGCAAGGGGAGCTACTGGCAGGAGGGAAATTAGGGAGGGCAGGGGATGCCTGCTACTTACTCTGTTACAATTAGCAGGACAGACACGCTTGTTGTAGACCCCCCAGAGATTTTCATCATTTTTTGGCAATGCTGGGAGTAAGCTCAAGTCCTCAAGTGGACTAGGCTTGTGCTTCACCTCTGAGTCTGAAAGGGGGCCTTGAACTGAGCTGAAGTCACCAACAGACTGTGAACTAGACATGGTGATGCACACCTATAATTCCAGCACTCAGGAGGCTGAGGCAGGAGGATCTCCTTGAGTTTGAGTCCAGCCTGGGCTACAGAGTAAATGCAAGAAGGAGACCTTGTCTCAAAAACCAAACAAAGTTGTGTGTGTGCACATGTGTGCATATATGCGCACATGTGTGCACATGCGTGCATATGTGTCCACCTGAATCTGCACTGTCAGAAGCCAGGGCCTGCGAGTGCACTCCTGCTACTGCCCAAGTCTCTCACGCATTCTGCAAATGAATTTCCCGAGCCCGGAGGATCCCATGGTGACCCCTCAAGGCCCTGTCCCTACCCCAGCTTCTTAAGGACACAAACGATGAGCAAGTCCACGCCTGCAGGCCATCCATGGGGTGATGGTGAGGCTGTGGTTGCCAAGGACACTCTGTCTCTGCACCATGCCGGAGCTCGGCTGCAGGGCAAAGTTCAGAGAGGAACCAGCTGGTCGCTCCCCGCATCTGTGTCCGATGTGGGGCCAGCTGGGAGGCCTCCTGCTTGAGGACAGGGAGGGTTCTGTCCCTAAGCTGCTGATGTCAGGGTCCTCAAGTCTGGCTGAGCCTCCTGGAGCTCCTGGGAGCATTTCTGTAACTTTCTGGGGGTGCATCATGGGGTCCCCAAGGCTTCAGGGTTGGGGGAGTGTAACTGCACAAGCAGTCAAGAGTTTGGCTCTGCTGGTGAACCTGTCCAGCACCTGTCCCTGGGATAGGCCACTGAGAGATGGTACCACCTGGGACAAGACTGTGCACGCCAGCGTGGGAACGTGTCCCCTTCTTGCTCTGTACCCGGACCAAGGTCCCTTCCAGAGGGCATCTGACAGCTGTGTCTGCCATCTTCAGTGTTCTCCAAGTGGGATCTGTTTTTGTTTTGGGGGGAGGGGGTTGCTTTTTTGAACTTTTGAGATGGGGTCTCACTAGGTGGTTCCAGCTGGCCTGG